GCATAGACACAAATATACAAAGGCTTGCAATCAAAGGTTAATCACTTGGACACTATTGCAAGCATCCGAATGTGACAATATATGTTCTACAATCAAGTTCCATTACAAATACTTGCACAGGAAATTTCAATTCTAAGTGCTATCACAGAACATATCACTCTGAAATACTGACACAAGAAATAAGATTTGTTGATAAACCTACACCTACCACTAGACATGTTTCTAATTACTTTTCCAATTTTCTCAGCTCTTCAAAGTGATTTGTTTACTGCACACAGTTTCCTTGCTATCAGTAGCCTTCACATGTGAGTCTATATGTCCAACATCAGCAGAATATACAACTGGACGATGAATCATGCTCACATCGCACCCTTTGCTCACCTATCATCCACTCTTGGAATAATTCTAGCAGAGTTCACTAGATGGTGATCAACAGAAAAAGCTCTGCCTTTTTCTTTCCCCTTATATCACTTACGAAGGTAACAGCAAATGGTCGCTTCCCCATAACTGAAACTTTGAAAGTTTTACCTTGTTGTAAATATGTTTTGATCCCGTTGTAGATTTCAATCTGTTGTTTTGCATTTAATCCTGTGTACAGGGTGTTCATCGTACTGATACTAAAAGGTGAAATTTAATAACATTTTAGGGTTGAATTTTCAAATCTAGTTTAATTAGTGAAGTTGATTTTAAAGCTGCAGAATAGAAATTGATATTTATGTGAAACTAAAATAGAAATACCTAATCCCCCATTTCCACTATATAGCTTCCCTTTGTCTCATTTGCTCATTTGTATTTATACACACACATCAGCTCTAACACACTAGAGAGAAAACTAAAGGTGACAGAAGTAAAGACTGTGCAGGCATTACATCACATTGTGTGGTACGAGCACAGTGCTAAATGGGATAGGCTTTGAACAGATTTAGCTACTCAGGACTGGCAATCAGCAACAGAACTGTACTTCAACACAATCTACAATCACATGGCCAGGCATATTTCCCATTCTATCATTACCATCAAGACAACTCTGTTTCAACGAAGGATGGCAGATTTCCTTTTCTAAAGCTGAAGAACATTGCTGAACCTGGTGGGTTTTCATGATGAGCAACAGTGGTTACATGGTCATCAATCATCCAGCTTGTAGTTCCAGCTTTTACATAATTCAAATTTTACCATCTGATATGTGCGATTCAAACACATGTCCCTAGAACGTTGAGATAACAAGATGTAGAGCCGGATGAACACAGCAGGCCAAGCAGCATCAGAGGAGCAGGAAGGCTGATGTTTCGGGCCTAGACCCTTCTTCAGAAATGGGAGAGGGGAAGGGGGTTCTGAAATAAATAGGGAGAGAGGGGGAGGCGGATAGAAGGTGGATAGAGGAGAAAATAGGTGGAGAGGAGACAGACAGGTCAAAGAGGCAGGGTTGGAGCCAGTAAAGGTGAGTGTAGGTGGGGAGGTAGGGAGGAGATAGGTCAGTCCAGGGAGGATGGACAGGTCAAGGGGGCGGGAACAGGTTAGTAGGTAGGAGATGGGGGTGGGGCTTGAGGTGGGAGGAGGGGATAGGTGGGAGGAAGGACAGGTTAGGGAGGCGGGGACAAGCTGGGCTGGTTTTGGGATGCAGTAGTGGGAGGGGAGATTTTGAAGCTTGTGAAGTCCACATTGATACTATTGGGCTGCAGGGTTCCCAAGCGGAATATGAGGTGCTGTTCCTGCAACCTTTGGGTGGCATCGTTGTGGCACCGCAGGAGGGAGGCCCAGGATGGACAAGTCATCTGAGGAATGGGAGGGGGAATTGAAATGGTTCGCGACTGGGAGGTGCAGTTGTTTAGTGCGAACCGAGCGTAGGTGTTCTGCAAAGCGGGCCCCAACCCTCCGCTTGGTTTCCCCGATGTAGAGGAGGCCACAACGGGAAAAGCGGATGCAGTATACCACATTAGCAGATGTGCAGGTGAACATCTGCTTGATGTGGAAAGTCTTCTTGGGGCCTGGGATGGGGGTGAGGGTGGGGGTGTAGTGGCAGGTGTAGCACTTCCTGCGGTTGCAGGGAAAAGTGCCGGGTGTGGTGGGGCTGGAGGGGAGTGTGGAGCGGACAAGGGAGTCCCGGAGAGAGTGGTCCCCACCTCCCTAACCTGTCCTTCCTCCCACCTATCCCCTCCTCCCACCTCAAGCCCCACCCCCATCTCCTACCTACTAACCTCTTCCTGCCCCCTTGACCTGTCCGTCCTCCCTGGACTGACCTATCTCCTCCCTAACTCCCCGCCTCTTTGACCTGTCTGTCTCCTCTCCACCTATCTTCTCCTCTATCCATCTTCTATCCACCTCCCCCTCTCTCCCTATTTATTTCAGAACCCCCTTCCCCTCCCCCATTTCTGAAGAAGGGTCTAGGCTCGAAACTTCAGCCTTCCTGCTCCTCTGATGCTGCTTGGCCTGCTGTGTTCATCCAGCTCTACACCTTGTTATCTCTGATTCTCCAGCATCTGCAGTTCCTACTATCCCTGGAACGTTAGTCTGGGTTCCTCGATTACCAGTCCAGTGACATTGTCAGAATGTCACCACCTCCCCTAATGATCGAAAATACACTTGGTCAGTCTGCTCAGTTTTGAAAATATTCTCAAAGGACAGTATTCTGGTGATTCTGAATAAGTACGCCTTAAGAGGTTGCATCTTAGTCAACACTTTATCAACACAATAGACAGAATTTGACCCAAGTGACTTCCCAGCATTTACATTTGGAAGTGCAGTGAACAAAATCAAAATTAAATGAAATTGGTCGATGGCAATGTGCAACATATATAGTCTGGTTGTTAGACAGTGGCATGATGTATCTCACACATATGTTTCTGACAATACTTCAGTGCAAAAAAGATTAAGAGTATAGTTACATTTTTCTATAGGTAAGGCAGGGAATTCTCAAAGTGTTGTTGGAGACCAAAAGATGTGTGGTGATAAATGGAAGATATGGAACCAATCTGTTATTAAGCCATGTATCCACCTCTGCATCACTGAGTGCAGGAAGGTTTTCAGTAAACGGAGGCCATAAACCTGCTATGACAGCAGGTAAAATTTTGTTCTGAAAGGGAAAAGAAAATAGGTTTTCTTTAAAAGTAAATATCAAAATTATCACGTAAGAACACAAATTCACAGAGCTATCAAAAATGTGTCTCTACAAATTAGATACAGCAATAAATTATTGTGATGTAAATCATTGATGTGGTTAATCATAGACATGGCCAGCACAGGCAACATCTTTAAGATCATGAATTGGCTGAAAAACTATTTGGAGAAAACCGTCAGTTTTCCAGTCAGCAAATCGATCTGAAGACCATGATGTTGGAGCAGAAGTAGGCCATTCAGTCCCACTGATCTGCTGTTCCTTTCAATAAGATTACGGCTTGATCTGATAATCTCAACTTCACTTTCTTACCTTTTCTCCATAACCCTTGATTTCTTCACTGATTGAAAATCTGTCTATCCTCAGCATTGAATATGCTTAATGACTGAGCCTGTGCAGGCTTTGCAATATAGGATTCCATTGATTCACTACCCTCAGAGAAGAAATTCCTCTTCATCGCCATCATAAATGGGCACCCTGACTCAGAGGTTGTGCCCTCGGTCCTAGGCTCTCCCGCATGGGGCAACAACCTCTCTTGCATCTACACTGTTAAGTCCTCAATCTTGCATGTTTCAACTAGGTCACCACTCATTCTTCTAAACTCAAATGAATCAAGCTCAATTACTCAACCTCACGTCATAGGAAAATCCCTCCATACCAAGGATCAACTTAGTGAAACACACTCTGGGCTGCCTCCAATAATTCCTTAGATAAGGGGGCCAAAACAGTTCACAGTAATTCAGCGATAGGTCTCACCAGTCCTTGCATAAGTTCAACAAGACCTCCCTATTTCGAGACTCCACTCCCTTTATTTCAAATGGCCAACGTTCCATTTGTCTTCCCTGTTACCTGTTGAACTTCGACGCTAGATTTTTATAAATTACATACAAGGACTCACAAATTCCTTTGTGCTGCAGCTTTCTGCAATCTTTTCTCAGTAGTTAAAGGCTGCCTTCCTGAAAATGTGTCCTTTATCCCAATTCTCTGTCTTCTATTAGTTAGCCAATCCTCTAACCATGCTAATATAGTGTATCCATTGCGATGGGCTCCGATCATATTTGGTAGACTAAGGTGTGATAACTTATCAAACGTCTTCTGAAAATCCAAAAAGTTACATTCACTGCTTCCCCTTTATTATCCTGCTTGATTCCTCCTCAAAGAACTCTAATAAATTGTCAGGCATGATTTCTCCTTCATAAAGCTATGCTGCCTCTTCTTGATCATATTATGCATTTCTGAATGATCTAACATTTTCCTAAACAGGTGCTAAGGTAATTGAGCCACAGTTACCTATTTTTCAACTCGTTTCCTTTTTGGCAATTCACTGACATGTTCTAGGCCTCACAGCACCAGGGACCCAGGTTCAATTCTACCCTTGGGTGACTGTCTGTGTGGAGTTTACATATTTCCCTGTAACTGCGTGGGTTCCCTCTGGATGCCCCGCTTCCCTCCCACAGTCCAAAGCTGTGCAGGTTAGGTGGATTGGTCATGCCAAATTGCCCTATAGTGTCCAGGGATATGCAGATTAGGTGAGTTAGCCATGGGAAATGCAGGGTTACAGGGATAGGGTGGGGGAGCTGGGTCTGGGTGGGATGCTCTTTGGAGGATCAGTGTGGACTTGATGGGCCGAATGGCCTGCTTCGACACTGTAGGGATTATAAGATCTAAGGATTCTGGGAAGATTATTATCAGTGCATTCCCTATGTTGGTAGCTACTTCTTCAAATTGCCTGGAATTCCATCAGGTCATCAGTCTTATCAATCTTTAGCCCCATTGCTGTCCCAAGTACTCTCCCTCTTGTTCCAGTTAATGTGTTTAATTCCTCTTATCCTTTTGCCCTTTGATTATTTGGTATTTTTGGAATGCTGAACACTAAAGTTGGTCTGCATTAAATCTTGCGATCCCTGAATTGTAAATAACTTTTTGAGCTCACATCTTGGGTTTTGTTGTTGAAAGCATCTATAAATGCAGCCAGGTTCTGGATTGGTTTGATATTCAGAAACAAAGAGGTTAGAGTCTTGTTGTCATCAATGAATCCAGGTGTTCTCAACCGATCAACCAATTTGCTCGGAGCAATGCTATTCAGCACCTGTAAAAACACAATAGAGAACTTCAAAACCTTGTATCAATAGCTAACTTTATTTGCTGGGTGCAACAGATGTATGTACACATATGTGCCAAAAATCAATTTGTCAAAGTCAGAAGGGATAAAATCCTTGAACGTTCAGTGGGATAGAAGTATGAAAGGAATCCATAAATGTTTATCAAATTCAGATCAGTGAATGGGAGGGAAGAGGAAAGTTGAAACCTGCTCCCTCTGAGCAACACACTGAATGCACTGCAACACTCAACACAATCATGATTGAGACAACAAGGTGCAGAGCTGGATGAACACAGCAGGCCAAGCAGCATCATAGGAGCAGAGAGGCTGACGTTTCGGGCCTAGACCCTTCATCAGAAAAGGGGGAGGGGAAGGGGGTTTTGAAATAAATAGGGAGAGAGTGGGAGGCGGATAGAGGAGGGATAGAGGAGACGATAGGTGGAGAGGAAACAAACAGGTCGAAGAGGCGGGGATGGAGCCAGTAAAGGTGAGTGTAGGTAGGGAGTTAGGAAGGGGATAGGTCAGTCCAGGGAGGACGGACAGGTCAAGGGGGCGGGATGAGGTTGGTCGGTAGGAGATGGAGGTGCGGCTTGAGGTGGGAGGAGGGGATAGGTGGGAGGAAGAACAGGTTAGGGAGGCAGGGACGAGTTGGACTGGTTTTGGGATGCGGTGGGGGGAGGGGAGATTTTGAAACTTGTGAAATCCACATTGATACCATTGGGCTGCAGGGTTCCCAAGCGGAATATGAGTTGCTGTTCCTGCAACCTTCGGGTGGCATCGTTGTGGCACTGCAGGAGGCCCAGGATGGACATGTCATCTGAGGAATGGGAGGGGGAGTTGAAATGGTTCGCGACTGGGAGGTGCAGTTGTTTGTTGCGAACCGAGCGTAGGTGTTCTGCAAAGCGGTCCCCGAGTCTCCGCTTGGTTTCCCCGATGTAGAGGAAGCCACACCGGGTACAGCGGATGCAGTATACCACATTGGCAGATGTGCAGGTGAACATCTGCTTGATGTGGAAAGTCTTCTTGGGGCCTGGGATGGGGGTGAGGGAGGAGGTATGGGGGCAGGTGTAGCACTTCCTGCGGTTGCAGGGAAAAGTGCCAGGTGTGGTGGAGCTGGAGGGGAGTGTGGAGCGGACAAGGGAGTCACGGAGAGAGTTATCCTAACCTCACAATCATGATTGATATTCTATTTAACAGCAAACTCCCACTCTCCCTTCCGTATCCTTAACACTTTTAGACTCTGGAAACCTACCTATTTCTTTCTTCAATATATTCAGTGACTTAACCTTCTCTTGTGGAAAAATTTGCAGGTTCCCAATTTACAGTAAGTTACCAAAGCCCCTTAATTCATTCACAGGATGAGGGTATCACTGGCTAGGCCAGCATTTATTGCCCATACCTGAGGACAGTTAAGAGTCAACCACATTGCTGTGGGTATGGCGTCACATGTAGGCCAGACCAGGTAAAGATGGCAGTTTCCTTCCCTAAAGGACGTTAGTGAACCGAATGGGTTTTTCTGACAATCGACAATGGCTTCATGGTCATCATTAGACTCTTATTTCCAAACTTTTCATTGAATTAACATTTCATCATCTGCTATGGTGGGATTTGAACTCAGGTCCCCAGAATATTGCTTGGGTCTCTAGATTAACAGTCCAGTGATAGTACCACTAGGCCATCACTTCCCCATATCAAACCCACAAGCACAACCATATCACAGAATAAAGGAACACTATCACCTTTAAGTCCCCCTCTAAGCTACTCATTGGCCTGGCTTGGAAATACATCATTGTTCCTTCAGTGTCACGAGGCCCAAAACCTACAGCTCCCTTCCTAATAGCACATGCAAATGGACTACCACCATTCACAAAGTAGTTCACCACCACCTTCTCAAAGGCAACCAGAACGGTCAATAACTACCAGAAAAGTCCACATCTCTGGTGAATAAAAAATAGTTCAACGCCCTTGAATTAAGAAATTTCTTCTCATCTCAGTCAGAAATGATCTACTGGGTATCCTGGGGATGTAACCCCTTGCTTTGGCCCTCAAGCCAGAGGAAATATCCTCCCTGGTTCAGTCTATCCATCTCTTTCAAATTTTTATATGATTCAATGAGATCCCCTCTCATTCATGTTAACTCCAGTGAATACAGGCCCAGTCAACCCACCATCTCCTCATCCGACAATCCTGCCATCCCAGGAACCAATTCAGTGAATCCTCACCACACTCACTCTATGGCAAGCATAGGTTATCTTGAGTAAGGAGGCCAAACTTATGCATCCCTTACTCAAACAGGCAGGAGGCACACAGTAGAAAACCACTGACCAGTTAGTTTAACATCTGTTATTGTGAAATTGTTAGAAGACATTATTAGCGAGGTACTAACAAGACATTTGGAAAGTCAAAACACAATCGATCAAAGTCAGCATATTTTATGAAAGGTAAATCATGTTTGACTAATTTGCCAGATTTCTGAAAGGTGTAATGAGCGAAATGGATAATGGGGATCTTGTCATTGTAGTTCATCTGGATTCCAATGGGCATTTGATAAGCTGCTATACAAAAGGTTAATACAAAGGCTAAGTTCACATGGGGTTAAGGGTAATACATTAGCTTGGGTTAAGGATTGGCTAACTAACAGAAAGCAGAGACCTGAGGTAAACGGGTCTTTTTATGTTTGGGAAGATGTAAATAGTGGGAATGCCACAGGGTTTGGTCCTCAGGCCTCAACTTTTTATAATCTATATTAATGACTTGAATGCAGGGATACTTTAATGAAATTTGTAGGTGGTACTAAAATATATGGGAAAGAAAATTGCAATGAAGAAATGAAAAAAATTATAAGTGGATGCAGATAGTTTAGGTGAATGGGCCCAAATTTGGCAGATGGAGTTTAACATAGATACATGCAAGGTTATCCATTTTGATCTGAAGAATAGAAAGGCAATTTACTATCTATATGGAGAAAAACTTCACAGTACTTCAGTGCAGAGGAATCTGCGCGTCCTTGTGCATGAATTGCAGGAAACTAGACTGCAGGTACAGCGGGTAATAAAGAAGCCAAATGGAATCCCAGCATCTATTGCTGACAGAATAGAGCATAAAAGTAGACAAGTATTGCTGCAACTGTACAAGGCATTAGTGAGACAATTAATGAGCATTTGGAGTATTGTGTATTAAGTTTTGGTTCACCAAACTTAAGGAGGGATGTAGTTGTATTGGAGGCAATTCAGAGGAGGTTCATAAGATTGATTCCAGACATCAGAGACTTGCTTTATGAAGATAGATTGAGCAGTTTAAGTGTATATTCCGTAGGTTTAAAAGAATGAAAGGAGATCTAATTGAAATATGTAAGATATTAAAGGGGATTGACAAAGTAGATGTAGAGCAGGTGTAACACAGTGTGGAGCTGGAAGAGCACAGCAGATCAGGCAGCATCAGAGGAGCAGGAAAGTTGACATTTCAGGTCAGGACCCTTCAACTTTCCTGCTCCTCTGATGCTGCCTGGCCTACTGTGTTCCTCCAGCTCCACACTGTGTTATCTCTGACTCCAGCATCTGTAGTTCTTGCTATCTCTGTAGAGCAGGTATTTCCTCTTATAGGGCAAACTAGAATGAGAGGTCATAGTTTTAAGATAGGGAGTAGCAGATTTAAAACACAGATGAGGAGGAATTACCTCTTTAAATATATATAAAGGAGGGGAGAGGTCAAAGTGAACACAGTGCCCTCAGAAAATGAATCCGGGCAGATAGTTGTGGAGAACAATGGAGTGGCAGAGGAGTTAAACAGATATTTTGCATCAGTCTTTATGGTGAAAGATATTTCAAACATCCCATGAGAACAAAAGGATAGAGTACTATTTAAATGGAGAAAAGCTGCAGAAGTTGCAACATTAAGGCACCTGGGGGCACTTGTGCACAAAACACAGAAAGCTAGCACACAGGTGCAGCAGGAAATCAGGAATGTTGGCTCTTATTTCATGGAGATTGGATTATAAGAGTAGGGAATAACTGCAACTGGTGAGGCCACAAGTGGAGTACTGTGGGCGGTTTCGGTCCCCTTATTTAAGGAAGGATATAATTTCATTGGAGACCGTTCAGAGAAGTTTCACTAGGATGATCTCTGGTATGGAGACATTGTCTTATGGGCAAAAGTTAAACAGGTTGGGACTCTACTCGCTGGAGTTTAGAAGAATGACAGGTGATCTCATTGAAACATGTAGGATTCTTCAGAGGCTTGACAGGGTAAATGCTGAGAGGATGTTTCCCCTCATGGAAGAGTCTAGGACTAAAAGGCATAGTGTCAGAATAAAGTGGTGCCAATTTAAGACTGAGATGAGGAGGAATTTCTTCTCTCAGAGTATTGAGAGTCTTTGGGGCTCCTTGCCACAGAAAGCTGTGAGGGCAGAGTCCTTGTGTACATTTAAGGCTGAGATAGAAAGATTCTTGAACAGTCAGGGAATCAAGGGGTGCAGGGAAAACATAGGAAATTGAACGTGAGGAATGTTGCATCAGCCATGATCCTACATATGGCAGAGCAGGCTAGAGGGGCCGAATGGCCTTCAGAAGGTAATGCTGCTACATAACTTCTTCTAATAAAGCCGTTCGTAAGAATGAAAATTGAGCCCTTGAAAATTGAACAGTGACCATTGAGGAAATCTGGAAAAAATAATTATTTTGTCCTTTGGTACAAAAACGCAAAAACATTGACAATGCTAAAAAAAACTGGCAGTTAGATGTCCTTGAGGATAGACAGACTTAGAATTCATCTAAAACAAAAAATGAATTTATAGTTTCTAAAGATCTAAAAATATATACTGCTTTGTTGAAATCAGTCTCACTGCACTATTATGTTAAAGTACATGCTAATACAGACAAATCTGACATGTACAAAACTGATCCCAGTGATTGTTTAATGAATAGAATAGAAGAGAATCCCTACAGCATGGAAACAGGCCACTTGACCCAACATGTCTACACTGACCCTCCGAAGAACATCCTAGCCAGACTCACCACCCCCTACCTTATCCCTATAACGCTGTATTTCCCATGCCTAATCCACCCAACCTCCACATACCTCGACACTATGGGCAATTTAGCATGGCCAATCAACCCAACTCAGACATCTGTGGACATAATGTGTGATACATTATCTCAAGAAAATAAATAGTAACAAGACTTCAATGTTCCTTCTGGTGACATGTTGCAGAATAACCTGGACGGGTAGTTTCCCAGTTCCTAGGGAGTTCACTGTGTCACCTAGTTCATTCAGAAAGATGCTGATTGAACACTTCTTATGGTTAAAATTGAACTGGAAAAAGATAACCGTTTCCACTCCATTTCACAGATTACTTTTATTTACCTCAGCCACACGGTCAGGAGGAACCAGTGAAGCAACGTCCTTCAGAGTTAGAAAGATGGTGTACTCTTGGAAATACATTTCCAGGTAAAGGAAAAAACTGTTGTTGTGATAACAATAAAGAGGGAATGCTGGAAACAAAAACAGAAAATACTCAATTAATTGCAATACTTTTATTCATACAGGAGAGATCTTGAGTTGGCATGAATAAATGAAAGTCCAAATTATGCAACATAATTAAACAGTTAACGATCGTGGATTTGTCATCATGACAGTCGCAAAAGAGGATCATTAGCCTTGCAATGACTGCTTTTGAACACACTTTAATATACGTGGAATATTTGCCACATTTGTTTTACATAATGGTCTACATCAAATGGCAAGTATCGAAAAGGGAGGTGTTTGATTTGGAAGACAATCATGTAAAAATGTCTGTACTAGTCTGCTGTAGTCATGTGACCTCTACTTACAAGGTGTACATGTCTTAATTCCCTTCACTAAAGTCCTCCTCCTTCTAACACACTATTGTGTTGTATACTCAAAACATTATCACACTGCTGCTTGGAGGAGTTTCCTGTATGTGCTTATAGGCTGCTTCATAAATAAATGCAAGTCTTTCTTTACCAGTCTGTTTGCTGAGGCCACATATGGCTAATCTTTTGGATTTCAACTCTGCTTACAAGCTTTGTTTGCAGTATGTTAAATGTGTGTGTATGTGAAGTACAGACACTTTCCTTTCTGTCTCAGCAACAGCCCTCATATTTTGGTATAGGCTAGCCTCTTGAACTTGATGTTTTTTTTCTCTTGTCTTTGAGTATCCAATATACTTCAATTCATACACTAACCCTTTCCTCCTGAGTTTCTCTCTGGCTAAAATTATAAAGCATAGAATACTGAAATATGGTGACTACCTAAAATATTTTAAACTCCCTTGACAGGCAGAACTACGCATCAAATAGTCACCAAATTTCTGACCAGGACTGATGCACGAATTAAACTACCCAAAAGTGTCAGTCAAAAAAGATCTCCATTCTGGTTTGAGGCATCAGTTGAAGTTTCAAGAACATTCTGGCTAAATTTTCCTGCTGAGCGGTTTGATGACTTTAATTATTCTTAGGATTAGGGTATTACATTTCTATTATCTTTAATTTCTTTTATTCATTTATGGAATGAGGGTGTCATTGGATAGGCCAACATTTATTGCCCATCCCTAATTGCCCAGAGGGCAGTTAAGAGTCAACCACACTGCTGTGGGTCTGGAGTCACATGTAGGCCAGACCAGGTAAGGATGGCAGTTTCCTTCCCTAAAGAACATTAGTGAACTAGATTGACAATTGACAATGGATTCATGGCCATCACTAAACTCTTAATTCCAGGGTTTTATAGAACTCAAATTCCACCACCTGCCATGGTGGGATTTGAACCTGGGTTCCCAGAACATTACCTGGGTTTCTGGATTAACAGTCTAACAATAATACTATCACTACCGCTTGGGGAATTTAGAGCTCCAGACTTTCACTCCCAATTGGGTGCGCAAAGACAGAAGAATTCCCAGCTCCTTGAAAGTGCCCTTTGAAAAAGGCAGTCCACACTTTCTGGTCTGGGCTGTTGGCCTGGATAAGAAGTCAGGACAGGTGACTCCAGAAGAACTCAGAGCAGATGTTGTAAAATCAGTCATGCAACTGTTATCCAACGATGGAAACTGGCAAGCTTACATTAACAGACACTCCGGACATTTTTTCTAAAAAATTAATGGGTAACGCTTTTAAGTGGGTTGATACTTTGTACCTCCCTTTGACAGCTCCTTCTGACAGATTCGACATTCGATTTTGATGGTTCTGTCAACAGTTCCAGTGAGCTTGACTGTGATGAGTTCATACACCTTCTACATACACTTATGCCTTCTTTCAACAATTCCAAAGGATCCCTTACTTCCCCAAAAGGACATCTGACCATCTTCAAAGGTGTGCCAAGACTAAGTCTAAAGGGGTGCCATACCTCTCCAAATGGGTTAACAGTATATCCAGAACAAAACCCCATGAACTTCAGACTTTCTACAAATTCCGAGTTTCATACTAAAGAGACGCCAAAATCAGATTCAGATGGAGGCAACTGACCAGCTGCGTCCGCAAGTCCCTTGTTCAATGTGGCGAAAATCTAGCTACAGTCAACCACATAACGTGGGACTGAACTGATCAGTAGACCAGATCAGGTAAAGCTGACAGGTCCCCTCTCATGAAATGCATATTCCACCATATATCACAACTTTCACGTGCGGATTTGCAAAACAAATATTATAGTCAAAAAAAAACCTTTAATTGGAACCATATTTCTTGGAGGCAAGTGGTTTAACCTCATTGAACCAATCTTTCAGCTTTAATATCTTCATGGTCAAGCCAGGATTAAGAATGTTACAAGTTAAGCTTTGCTCCAGAGTTTTGGTTTATGCTATTAAAGGAGTAAGTGTACCCTTCACTGATAGGAACCAGTTTATGACTCAATGGCAAACTCCAATCTGTAAGAAACATATAGTCCTCTTCCTAGGGATCCTGGCAGTATGAACATGAGAGAATATCTCTCAACATCCTTTAAATTCCAAAAATAGGTTTGTAATTACAGCTACGTAAACATATAATATTTTGGAGCAGAACAGGATAAAAGTAAGAAGATTGAATTATTCTGAGAGTAGAATATAAAAGTATTAATGAGGACGTCACAGCTATGAAACCTCACCTATTGATCAAACCACAAGATGATGAAATCACTGAACAGGAATGGCTATGTTTATACACAAGATCAAATTTTATTTCCTTACCTTTATTGTATGTTAGTAAGTTTTTGTATACAGCCTCTTGATCATTGATTTCCTGCCGGTCTTTGAAATAGCTCAGTAGCTCAATTCTGTACAAAAGAAAAGAAACATCAGATCCACAGATATGCAGAATTACTGACGTCCCCTTTATAGGGGACGATAAAATTTATTTAAGTTGTTCTCAAAAAAGTGCCTGTAGACTTGTGTGAAAATCCTGCATACTATTTGACATTCTATCAATCTGTTAATTTGAAAAGAACTCCAACTGGTTAAAATATTAAGGGTTGTAATTTCATACAAAAGGTGAGATCTTTTATTTTCCTCTGCATACACAATCACACAGACAGTAAACATGAAGTTACTACCTAAAACCATTGTGAAAGACCCAACAACACAGTGACTGTACTGCCCAAGGTTTATCTTTTTTTTGGAAAGTTAAAATCCCCTACAATTACCACCCTATTATTCTTACAGTTAACTGGAAACAGAGAGGAGTTTCTGTGGCCACAGATATGAATGAAGTTTGAGGAATGAAAGATTGCTTCGTCAGTGTGAGGCTAATGACGTTGTCAAGCGACTATGAAGGTTTTTGAGGAATAAGTTCGAACAGCCAGAGGTAATGATCTGTGTCCAATATCTACATTGGTAGAAAGAGGGATAAGCAGACTCTAGAGGAATAGGAAAGTCACTAACAAACAGCTCCTCAAATGGTAGCAATCTCCACATGAGGTAGTGGTTAGCTCAGGTGGCTGGACAGCTGTGGGTCTGGAGTTTAGGTAGCACGGTGGCTCAGTGGTTAGCACTGCTGCCTCACAGCACCAGGGACTCGGGTTTGGTTCCACCCTCAGGTGACTGTCTGTGTGGAGTTTGCACATTCTCCCCATGCCTGTGTGGGTTTCCTCCGGGTGCTCTGGTTTCCTCCCACAGTCCAAAGATGTGCAGGTTAGGTGGATTGGCCATGCTAAATTGCCCATTGTGTCCGGGGATGTGTAGATTAGATGGGTTATAGGAGTATGGGTCAGGGTGGGACGCTCTGAGGGTCGGTGTGGACTTGTTGGGCTGAAGGGCCTGTTTCCACACTGTAGGGATTCTATGAAGAAGCTGGTTTGCAATGCAGAATGTTGCCAACAGCGAGGGTTTAATTCCAACACTGACTGAAGTCACCATGAAGGGCCATCCATCTCAAGCTCTCCCTCACTTGAAGTGTGGTGACCCTCAGGTTTAACCATCACCAATGAGCTCTCTCTAATGAGAGAGCAGCCCTATGGTATGAGAAGACAATGGCGACTTTAACTTACCTTTACCTTGAACTCCACATCACACCCAGTGCCACATGCCTGGGAACGTCAACTCGGACAGGAGAATGCATGGCCTAACAGATAGTGCAGCTAGGAGAGCATTTGGTTCAGAGCATATTTTGGACCAGTTCTAAGGGGCAGGAACTATAAAGACCAGACGGGTTACACCTGAACAGAACCAGAACCAACATTCTCATGGGGTGGTTTGCAAGTGCTGTTGTGCTTTGAAAACAAAAAAAAAAAGATAGCCCAACAAAGCAACTCTGTGCGGGAGTGAGATGAGCTGATTTGCTCTTGCAAAGAGCTAGCATGGACACGGGAGGCTGAATAGCCTCTTCCTTGGCTTCTTCCAAAGCTGCAAGAAGAGTCATGCCAGACTCAAAACACTAACTCTTTGTTTTGCCCTCCACAAATGCTGCCAGATCCGCTGAGTTTCTCCAGCATTCTCTGGTTTTATTTTAAATTTAATCCTGGGGATCTTCCAGTTTACTCCTATGCTCCTGTCATATCCTTCAATCTATGGGGAGGGGCGAGAGAAGCGGGTATTTGGCAAAAGCTATCCATCTGATCCAAAGAGCACAACAAAGGCATTACGTAGCCAGCTGCCTCATTGTAAAGGCAATTATGGCTCTGCTCCAAATGAGAACGTTTGATAATCTCAGAACAGTATAAAAGGGGACAGAGACTGGCATTATAGTCTTCTTCTTCCTGATATTTCAGAATGAGCAAAGCTCAAAAATGATTCCCTCAGCAATACGTTACACATCTGATTAGAGGCTGATTGTAAGTGTACAACTCATCATGACAGGCACTGTGTGATCTCTCAGAGCTGTTTCCTATCATATATATTTGGAAGTGAAGACAAAATTAAAAATGGAAACAAATCAACATGATTGCAAAGGCTCAGTGGACCCTTACATGTTACATATATGTTCTGGTTCCATGTGATGTGTGTTCTCATAGGACAAATGTTAATTACAGAAACTCTCAGCTGAATGGTTACTGAATTATACATGAAATTGTAAGCACTTCAGTTGAAGATATATTAAATCGTACTTACATTCTTTTGAGGAAAGGGCATGGAAATCTCCGGCTGTTGTTGGAAGCCAAAACAGTGTTTGTGATCAATGGCAGAGATGGAATTAATGTGTTATTAAGCCATATGTCCAAATCTATCTCACTGATCCCAGCCATACTTCTGTAAAACTCTTTCTGTAACCCTTCTATGACTTCATCAAAATATTCACCCTGAAAAATGAAACAAAATATTTTTTGGAAATCTTAGGTAAAGCAAATTCTCTCATCTTGCCACATATCACCTTTCAAATTATTTGACTCGTTTGTGAAAATCAGTTTTCTTAAACTGGAAATACTTCTGAGGATTAGTTACAACCAGGATTAGGTTTTGGAAGGATTTAAGTTATCTTCCATCATTTTGATGCATCAGTTAAAATGATAACCAAAACTATGCATCCAGCCTTCACTCTGTAGACTTTTCAACATTTACAGTCCAGAAGACACCACTCAGCCCATCGTGTCCATACTGGTCAATAAGGATCTGACTACACTAAATAAAAACAGAAAGAACTGTGGATGCTGGAAATCAGACACAAAAACAGAAATTGCTGGAGTTTGGAGTTCTGAGGAAGGGTCATTGAACCCGAAACATTAACTCTGATTTCTCTCCACTGATGCTGCCCAATTTTCGGTTTTTGTTTCTGACTACACTAATCCCATTTTCCAGCTCTTAGCCCTGGGTACTATGGCAAGGCAAGTGAATATCTAATTATTGCTGAAGCATTACAAGAGTTTCTGACTCAACCACCCTTTCAGATAGTAAACTCTACCCTCTGGGTAAATAAAGTTTTCCATAACTCTTCTTCTCTATTATTTTAAATCTATGTCCTCTGGTTATTATCCCCTCCACTAATGGAAAAGGTGCCTTCCTATCCATCTTATGTATGCCTCTCATATTCTTATACACTTCTATACAGTTCCATCTCCTCCATCACTGCTTCAAAAAAAAACCCTTCACAGCCTATCTGCTCTTTCCTCGCAGCTCAGACCTTCCCACCCAGGCAGCGTCCTGGCAAATCTCCCCTGCACCTACTCTAGTATAATCACATCCTTCCAATATATTCCTAGTTGCCTCCTCAAAAAATTCAAAGTTTTCAAACATGACCCTGCCTTCACAAATTCATGTTGACTATCCTTGAGTAACCTATGCCTCTCTAAGTGCAGATAGAATTCTGAGGGACAGAATGTTCCCAATAAATTCCCCATCACTGAGTTTAGACTGACTGTTAAGTTCCCTCCAGCACTTTTTATATTCCTCCTAGGAATCCACCCTACTAAGGCCCCTTACTTGACATAAGGTTCTTTTTCTTTCTTCATCCTAATATTTACGTCCCTTGATATCCTGAGTTCTCTGGTCTTTATCCCACCCTTTTTGTCTTTACAGGAAAAAAAATTGTCCTGTTCCAGCACTATTTCCTCCTTGACTCCTTCCTATTTCTCTTATACATTTACATCTGCTCCCAGTCCAGTTGGGTCAAATTGTATCTCATCTTAGTAAAATTTGCCTGTCCCCCAGTTTAGAACTTTTATTCCTGGCCCATCCTTATTTTTTTCTAAGACTATCCAAAATTTAACAGAGTTATGGTTACTATCTCCAAAATGCTGCCCTACTGTTAAATCTTCAACATGCACAGACTCACTTCCAGACATTTATTAGGACCAGAACTACCTTCTCATTTTTTTGGCCTGCTGCACACTGTCTAAAAATGTTCTCTGGGATGCAACTTTAGAATTTTGTTCCCTTCCTATTTTGCACACTGCAAGTAAATATTTTGGTAGTTAAAATTCCCTACTATTACTGCCTCATTATTCTTACTCTGCTTTGAAATGTAATTAAATTTGATCCTCTATTACTTTTATTTCTACCCACATGGTCTCATTTGGTGATCCTTCCAAGGTATCGTCCCTCTTCGTTGATATTATTGATTCTTTGATTAATATTGCCTCGTTTCCACCCCCCCCACCCCCGCACCCCCACAATCTCATCTCAAAACCTTACAACCAGGAATGTTGAGAGCCAAATCTCAGTTAAAGCTATGATATCATAGTCCCACTTGCCTACCTGTCTTTCAGTTGTCTGCCTTAGTCTTCAGGCTACTTGCGTGATAGGAAATTCCATTTAGCCTTGCTAAACTCACCTCCTTCTGATCTAGTTTACATTTCCTCTGCCTTCCAGACTCACTCATATTCTAACTTCAAATTCCAACTCAGTTTCTCGCCTCTCTCAGTTACTTTTCAGGATTGTATCTTCTTGCCAAGCCAGTTTTAAATCGCCCAACAGCATTAATAAACCTCCCCATGAGGATATTGGTCCCATTCCTGTTCAGATGCAAACGTCCAACTTGTACAGGTCATAGTTCCCCTGAGAAATGGTCGCAATGTCTCACAAATCTGAAAATCACTGTGCACTGTCACTGAGTTTTCCTCTCTGAATTGGGCTGTGGATGTGACTATCATTCATCAGGTGGTCTTTGGGGATTATCAGTTTGGGGAAGAGTTAAAACTGTGCATTAATCAGAAAACTGAGGGAGCTGCAGATCTGAAATGGGTAGAGAAAGGCAAATTTCCAAACACTTGCACTCAGCAAAATCCTCCATTTACTCATGTGCAGGTAACAGATGCATTTGCTGGCACTCCTGCTCAATTTGACACTTATGACTTCAGGCACATTGCTCTGATATAATGGACACTATCTTGCGAGAACCACTACAGTTTATCTGCGTTAAATCCTACGATCTCAAAAAGTAGAAGTAACATTTTCAACTCACGTCTTGAATATTTTTGGAAAATTGATCGATAAGTATTAATAATTTATCGACGGATTGGAAGCGGATCAACACCCTGATCAGAACCACACTGCTGTCAATGAATCCAGGCATGCTCAGTGCAACAGCCAAATCACTTGGATCAATACTATCCAGCACCTGTAAAACACAATGCAGAATTGTTTAGTTATATCCATACCTGAAGGCAGACTCTACAAAACATGCAATTACATATTACTGTGTCAAAAATACAGGGTTGTTTTGTTGGCTTATCAATGGTTAGTTAGCAAGCCACAATAGACACACAAACTTCAGTGGAGGTAAAGGGGCAAGAAGTGTTTAAACCCCAAGAAAGCTGGTACTCATTTCAAGGGATAATTTCTATTTTCTTCTTTCAATCTCATTCTCTGAATCTCTTTTATTCTGTCTCTCTCTGCCCCTGTATCATATCTGTATTCTCATTTTCTCTTTCACTTCTTCCCAAGATGTGGCCCTCGACTCTTCAAATATCTTTCTCCTTAAACTCTCTTTCTCTCTCCTTCCATGTCTCAAGTCCTTGAGCTCGTTCCCTCTCTTTCTGCCGCCTTTACCAGTCTCCTTAAAGTCTTTTGCTTCCTTAATCTGGTCCCCCTTCAATCCTACAATGCGTCTGCTCCTCGTGCATTTTCAGTTGCATTATTCACATTAATAGTCCTAAGCATGGCCTTTCCTGGAAACAAAATGTTGCACGTGTCTTCAAGGTGAATTTATTTTCATGTATATTCTAATTAAAGCACTTATGAAATTCAGAACACATTTGCTTATTTGCAATATTGCGTTTTCACCTTAACAATGCTGAACAGTTTTTTTTAAGAGAACAAGTAAAACAGGTATTACTGTGAAATCTATTTGGGACTGTTTAAACACCATGATACCTGTAAAAATTTGATTTACCTTCTGTAAATCAAATTCAGATATTATTTAAATTTTACAAAATAAAGCTTTATTGCACATCATTTAGAGTTAGTGAAGGTATATCACAACCATAGTAGCTAAAATTAGTTTGTCTTTAGCCTCCAGGAGTTATAAGCGAATTTGAAGAAATTGGTAAGAAACATGGATGAGAACACTGAAGACATGGCAATGCATTAGTTATCTGTTTACATCCTAATAGTCAATTCCATTGACCTTAGTAGAACAGAATACCAGGCACAAAAACAGAAGTTGCTGGAAAACCTCAGCAGGTCTGGCAGCATCTACGGAGAAAAAAATCAGAGTTAACGTTTCGGGTCCGGTGACCCTTCCTCAGAACTGTTCCTGATTTACAGCATCCGCAGTTCTTTCAGTTTTTATTTAGAATACCAGGCACATTACTTTATGGGAGGAAAATACAATGCCACTCATTTTGTGATCGTGTGCACATACAATTTAGGCAAGAATACTCCAGGATTAGAAGTGGAATAGATTTGCTATAACATTACCAGATTCAGTGGATGGATTGCTCCAATTTTTGGAGAGGTGACAGATTCAGTGAAGAATTTCAGAGAAATACATTAAGATTAATGGCCCCACAGGTCATCCAGTGCTGGATGAGCGCCAGTCTAGCAGTGACATGCGGCCAATCTGCAGAACTAAGTGTCTACTGTGGCTTGATTGGACACACTACCACACTTTTCCTGGTGGTAAATGAGTTCCTCTCAAAGGTGGCATCTTGCGACTGGCAGGTCTGGGGAATCCACGAGGCTATTCGATTCCCACAGGAACTGTAGCCATTGGCAATGTCAACTTTCCTGCTCCTCTGATGCCTGCTGCGTCCCTCCAGCTCCACACTGTGTTATCTCTGACTCCAGCATCGGCAGTTCTTACTACCTCTCGGTGCTACACTTGTAGTCTCCAGCCATCCTGTGGAGGAATTCCACTTCCATTGGAGTGGCCTTGCGGCCATTTCTTTGTTCCATTAAATATCTCTTCAGAAGGTGCCACAGAATGCTCCTCACTCTCCTCCTCCCTTAAACTGAGGCAAAAACCAGCTCGGAGAAGGCAGGCTTAAGCCTGCAGCCTCAACTATCTTCATCATGTTCTAACTGGACATCAGACGTGTCTGGTCTCCTAATGGGTCATTGCCAGGAAGATTGCCCAGGCAACAAGAGCATGTTTGGAGCCTGAACACTCACTTCTGTGGCCTTAGATTCCACTCTTAGTTCTAGCTGCAGGCTGGTTAAACAAATAACATTGATCTTTAAATGCACACCCACCCCCATCTCAGTTCAGAAAATAATTACATTTCTTTTTACCTCATTTACACGGCTCGGAGAAACCAGTGAATACGCATCGCTTAGAATGAGGAAGTTGGAAAAACCTTGGAAATAGTTCTTCAGGTAAAGAACAAAACTTGTGTTTCCCAAACACATGGCAGTGGACACTGGGGATAAAAAGCAATAAATATTCAGTACATTTTTAATAACTCTGTTTAAAAAAATGAGTTAATTAGTCATAAAAATCAGGCACATAGAAAAATAAAAAAAAGGAGCAGGAGTGGGCCATTCAGCCCTTCAAGCCTGCTTCATTATTCACTACGATCATGGCTGATCACCAACTCAGTAGGCTGTTACCACTTTCCCCTCATCACTGATCCCTTTAGCCCCAAGCCAACTTCTGCTTGAGATCACACAATGTGTTGGCCAGGTCTGCTTTCTGTGGTAATGAATTCCAATGCTTCCTGGGTGAAGAAAGTTCAAATTGTGCAACAGGATGAAACACATGGAACTATTTAATAAACCGCTGTTAAATTTCTAACAGCCATTCGCACCAAAGTTCAGCTCACCAAAAATATCAGGCAAAAGAATACTTCATTCTATTTTGAGGCCTCAAATGAGGCTGATTGCTCCGGTGATATTTTCTGCTGTATTATTTATTACTAATGTTTCCCATGTGTAAAAATGTCAGTACTACACATTGCTCATCCTCAGTTGCTTTGAATGCATTAGAAGTCAATCATACAGACATTACTTGTAGGAATGGGATAACAAAGGTGTGGAGCTGGATGAACACAGCAGGCCAGGCAGCACCAGAGGAGCAGGAAAGCTGACGTTTCGGGTGTGCACCCTTCCTACTCCTCTGATGCTGCCTGGCCTGCTCTGGTCATCCAGCTCCAAACCTTTGTTATCTCAGACTCCAGCATTGGCAGTTCCTACTATCACTTGTAGGAATGGAATGGACATCTAGCTTAACCAAAATGGAGTGAGAGCCCAAGTCCTGTTCCTGAACCCAGCACTCAAGAGAAGAAGGGGCAGAGGAGGTTGGAAGAGGAATAGGATAGATTGTAGTTCGCATATTTGGGGTTCATAGAGGGAGTTACAAACTGCAACTGCCTTCAGGCAGATCCAATTTCCATTAGTGGGCTGACCTAAATATGATGTGAAATCTAAACTATTGATAAAAATGGTCGAAAGCTGTCAAAATTATTTGAAAAGGCAGAGTACCCTTTTGGATGAGTCTTTAGATAAACCTTTAGAAGAGATCGAGGTATTTCTTTGTGAGATGGAAGGGTGTCCCATTACAGACGTGACAGTAGACGTGAACATGCGTGAAAATTAGATAGGTTCAGGGAAACCGTCAAAATTTTGAGGTGTTTACATTGCTCTACAGTTTAAAAAGACTCTACAATTTGGGGAAAAAAATCACTGCTTGCTATTTCACTGTCTTTTATGTATTTCATGATGTATTTCATGGGAAGTGTGCTAAATGATTGATTCCACAAGCTATCATTATCACAGTGCGGTGCCTGATAGCTCATAGTTTAATTAACAGCTCCAAGTTGTTACAAATTCTTTGCAACAAGGATATGAATACAAAATCTTATTTTTAATAAGGAAGTAAATACTTGAATTTAATGTTTGCTTTTATAAGGGATTCAGCAGTTGAAAAAAAATTACATTTTTTTAATGAATGAGTTTTTAAAATTAAGTCTGCAACTGACACATAGAATTTTTTTTCGTCTCCTGAGGTGGATATTGGATGGAGGGTGTAAGGACAAAAGGTGATGGATGGGGCTATGGGTTGACATACTTGAAATCAAGATCTCATAAAGACTAGAAAGAGATCAAAGAAGAGATTGGCTATAGGACTGTTTAGAGGGGAGTACAGTTGGCATGGAGGGCATGAGGGAGTGGTGGGGAGGATGCTTGAAGTGCCATTTGTTGACATGGATTGGACGTGGAGAATCGTGTGGTTACCAGGATGTTGGGTGGTGAGAATGAGAGGCCTTTTTGCTGTGTAGCTTTGATCACAAATGGGATGAGATCCTGGATTACTGAGGCCGGCATTTTACATAACCAAACTCCTGACCCAGCGGCCTCTATGGCTGCCTCTACACTGTATTTAAAAGCTGGTGGGTCAGACTCCAGTTGACATCCACTCAACTGGAATGAAAATCTGACCATATAGGTGCTTTGTGGAGTTGCAACTTACTCTAATGCAGCCCTCCCTACTTAAGAGTTAAAATTCAGAACAATGTATGGGGCAAGTGTAACATGCAGAAGAGATCAGATAAGAGTCTGATAGATCCCTTTCCAGAGGAATCTTTTACATGTGTATCAAAAGTTTTAAAAGTGCTTGCTGATGACAATTATTTTGGACAGTCTATTAATGAATGTATTTAGTTGGTAAACAGCATTTGTTGAATGTAAATGAACTACCTTAATTCTCGTATATCTCTATGACTCCTATGCTGGCAAGTGGGACTAGATTTATTTAGGATATCTGGTCAGCACGCACGAGTAGGACTGAAGGGTCTGTTTCGATGCTGTATACCTCTAAGACTCTATGAATCTAACTCAACAAACTGTTGTGCTTTTGGTGCAACTCTCATTTATAAGGGGGTGCAGATTCTACTTATGAGAGAGGCCAGCTTTGCTAAGCATGAGGGAATATCTCATGTTGACCTGCATTTTGCTACAACCACTTTGATATGTTAGAGGTGTCTCAGTTTAAATATATTTTGAAGGAAACAAAACATATATGAACTCAGGTTCTGTTATTGCTGTGCTGATGGGACATTAAAAAAAAATCCTTAGAAGAGTTATGTATCATGTTTTGAAAAGCCATTAAACTACAAGGTGTCACAAACCACTGAACAAGAACAGTTATCATTATTAATGTGTTTCATTACCTCTAGCATTTTCCAATAATTTTCTATATATGAATTCTTGATCGCTCTTACTCAGCAGATCTTTGACATAGCTCAATACTGAGACACTGTAGAATATAAACAGAAATACACAATGTAAATGGGTTGCTGAAGTTAACAAGCAAAACTGGAAATTGAAATTGTTCTCAGTTATATTTCTAAGAAATGTGTTGTCAAGTTGGTGTGTAATTTAATTCTTTAGATACCTGTTGACCCATTTACTCTTAATTTGTGAACTGATCAAACCAGCATATAATGAAATTTCAGATGAAGGTCTGTTCAAAAATTAATATCAAGAATGTCTCAGCCACACACAAATCCACTGTAAACAAGTCTGAATTCTCTAAACTACACCACTGGATGTTCAAGGAGAAGATTCCTAGCTCTTTCCCAGGAGAACTGTGGACGGATAGCTTATACAATGCTAGTCACTTCCTAATAACAAATAAAAATTATGCACACACTGATTCATTAGAAAACTAAATATTAGATATTCTCTCACACTGAAATTTCCTTTCATAACTAATATCTCCTCATTAGAATTGTGAAAATTCACCAAACACTTCTAACATGGTGCAGAATCACTCAATGTGTTACTGTCTTGTCAATATCATCCAGCGTTTTGCAGTCACTTACTAAAACTGGGAGTCACCATAGTCTCACCAGACCATAGGGCTACTCTCTCATCAGAGAGAAATGACTGGTGATGGTTTAACCTGAGGGCCACCATACCCAGGTGAGGGGAGAGAGGTTGAGAAGGAGAGTCCTTCATGGAAACCTCAGCTGGTGTGGGAATTAAACCCACACTGTTGCGCAAACTAATCATCCAGCCAACTGAGCTAAACCAACCCCCATACTAAAACTGTATCCCTTGTACCTGCACTCTAATAATGGTGTTGAAAAGAGCATGTTATTGAATCCTACATTCTGAAAGGCTGTTGAAAATTTGGAAACATGTGAATTAAGACTTTATATGAAACCCCATAGGAACAAGAGAGGTGACTGTCACCACAGTGCAAACCCTGTACCGTTGACTTCCGCAGTGTTCTACTGCTTAGCAATCCTCAGACGAACACAATCTGCAACTCCACACGTTGTTCTCCCCTTTAAAGGTACCTCCTACTTCACCTTCATTTGATCTACCAATATTCATTATCAATCCTATCTATTTATCATACATTGACCTTGAAGAGAAAACACGATTCTGGTACAAGAATCATCTATTTGCCCCCATTCACTCCTGATCTTTTGTCTCTGGCTGAATTTAGCTTCCAAAGGTACAGGGTCAACTGATCATTTTTGATGCAAGCTGTTACATTCAATGTTGACAGGCTATTTGAGAGATTTACTCATTGATTGATGATGATGATGATGAGAAATTCAATTTTGATACACATGATGTCATTAAGAAATAAATGGAAATATTTTTGCTTCAATCCCAAAAATACAATGGATAAACAGCATTGTTGAGTAGTAAACATGAAAATGCTAAGTAGTGTCTAAACCAACAATGTATTTCAATCGTCAGACTTTGATATGAGTAACTCTCTACCATGTATATGTGAAAACATGAAAAAGCTTAGTAGAGATAATGACAGAAGTTTTGTGAATACTATCACAAATATGTAGGGTCTGATTCCGATACAGGAATGCAATAGGGGTATTGTAGTGTATGCTAATCGTGTGAGACTTGCACTGTAACAACAAATTGCATTAAATTATAAAGATTTCATTTCAACGTAAAAATAACATACATTTTTCTGTTAAGGGCACATGGGATGTTCACGGAAAACTTGGAATTCAAAACTATTTCGACGATCGATGGCAAAGATGGAAGTAGGGTTTCATTAATCCATTCCTTCACATCTATTTCGCTGAGTCCAGAGAGGCTTTTTCTAATTTCAGACTGCACACCATCTAAGATAGCAGTTAAGGACTTAGTCTGCTAAAAAAGAAAAAGACAGTTTTATTGTACAGCAAAATATTACAATTCTGCCATGACTCCCTCTAGGTGCCAGATGCATTCTTTCTACTCAGTAGATTAATAAGTGAAGATCGGTTTTCCAAAATAGGAAACTCGAACTAAGTATTTGTTAAAGGCCGTTTTAGGTATTGGAAGGGTTGAAGCTACATTACCCTGGTTCTGAGAGTAAATTTTAACCATTTTGCCCCACTCACCGTTGCTGAGTCCCCTTAACAGGGTGTGACTTCACTGCGCTGTGGAGAAAACAGCTCAGAAAATCACATGGATCACATGGATAAGTATGTGCAAGGTCAGTTTTGACAATACAGTTAATAGTTGGAAAAATGACATTTGAAGTCAGGTCTTGTTGGGCTGCCCCAAATTTCAACCAGCTGAGGGATTGTGTATCTGAAGTGGGTCAAGAATAACAAGATTCCACAATTCTTGAGTCTCCTGCAAAATCTTTCACTTGTTTGTCTACAGGCAACAGATCAATGCCTTTGTCATCCTTTTAATAAGACACTTAGGCCTCCCAAGTACTCTAGCACTATATGCCCAATATGCTCAGCTCCGACAGAATGGAAATAATTTTATAATTATATAATATTAATATGTTACAATTGATCTGCGATTTCAAAAATAAAAATTACACTTCCAACTTACATTTGGCATTTTGGCGATGAACTCTCCTATTAGTAACTTCAGATCCTGGATGGAGTGGATGTGGATTAAGATATTGGTCAAGGTCTCAAAGTCATCAATGAATTCAGGCTTACTCAGTAAATCAGCCAATTCACTTGGATTAATGTTATCCAACACCTGTAAAACATAATGAGGACATTTTCACCTTAAGTGTTCAACAGATGAAAGTTTAGTTGCTTCTGGGACAAATACTGTTACTTGTTTAACAAGATATCACATGCAAAATATGAATTTTTCAAAGGCAAAAGTAGACCAAATGTTCATGGGACACAATTTCACTCAGCCTCTCTGCAAGAGCAGTACATTATAGAAGTCAGAATGAGGTTGAGTAGCTCACTGCATCATGCCAGGTCACCAACTTTTGGACATAGATCAAGAAAAATCCACTCCATGCACTGCACAACAGGCAAAGTGGGCCTTGAACACGAATTCAAACACAACATATTACACTTCAATGTCAAATTCAAATGCTATACACAGTTTTGTACTGGCCAGTGATATTGGTGAGATTACAGGATTAATAACCAAGACCGCCTGCAGACGTGAACTCGGAACTGCAAACTGCTGGATCACCAGACATTTTGCTATCTGGTTTACCAGGAACGAGCCTACCGATCACAACCTGTTCACAAGTTGTTTTACGACGTCATGGATGTTTTAGTCATATTTATTGTTGTTTTGTCTGGTTGGAGCAGGGTGGATGAAGAGCAGCAACAGCAACCACCATTACCTGTGCCTGTCTTAATAAAATGCAGAGAACGATTCCAATATACAGGGGCTATCAAAGTGATCAAGTATCATCTTCATGGTCCTAACAAAAGCAGCAATGCAGGAAGGCACACTTCCCCAACAGGCTGGTGCAGACGATTACAACCTTAATATTTCTTTCTCTGTTTTCCTGATCTCTCTCTCCAGATATCTCTCTCTCTCTCTCATTTACATAACTTGCAACAGCAAAACACTGCTGTTACAGAAAAACTGATGTATAACTGAGAAGAGTTAATATACTTCAGGTCTGTCAACTTGTGCTGGGAAAGAGACTGAGTTAATGTTTCAGGTCTTTGACCCTACGTATCTCGCTCTCTTCCCCAGCAGCTGGCATTCCCTTGTTCCTTTGGATAATCGTGTCTGAGGTCCACGATATCATTCTATCATTCTGATATTGAAGATGGCAGCGGGATAGATAGTCTGAGCCCGGGGCTTGTCTGCTCCCATTGGCTTCCTTTCTCTTCTTTTCTTCTTTTTTTCTTTAGCTCTTTCTCTTTTCGTTTTCTTTTCTCTTCATTTACTTTTCTTTTAAGTCTGGAGAGTGACAATTGAAGGAGGAGGCCTCCAGCAACACCAGCAGTGGCAGCAACACAAGATACGGCTCCACCCCAGCCCAGGGTCTCGTGGCAAGTGAGGAACAGGTCCTGGGCTGACGGCCCAGCCTGGAATCGCAGGCTAGGACAAGGGTCTGGGTCCATGGCTCCAGGCTTGGGTGCCTGAAGAAGGAGAAGCGGCGGCCTCAGCGCAGTTTGGCGGTCTTGTCACGGTGTGGCGGTCTTTTTCGTCTTTGGCATCTAGGTATTCTAGTGGCCTAGCAGGCAGTCTCGGCCCAGCATGGCAGTCTTCTTCAACTGAGGCTTCCGGCCCAGTGTTCCAGCATGGCAGAACTGTGGGCCGGAAGTGGCAGTCTCCTCATGGAAATGGCAGTCTCACCCTGGATGCGTCTTCAGCTTATTCCATTGTTCCTAAGTCAACTTTCCCTGAGGCCAAGAGCCGCTAACTGAACTGTGATGAACTTTGTCTTAGTTTTGCTTTTTTTTTTATTATAATGCATGACTCCTGTCATTGACGTGGGCGCCGTGGTGACTCATAAAACGCCTCACTGTATTTTTCATGTAAAAGTACACGTGACAATAAATTTCTGCTTCTATTTCTATCCTGAACAATATGAGGGCTATTAAAAGGACGAGTACGACCATTGATATTATAAGGGTTGGCGCTAATTCTAGAAAACATATACTGTCACAAACATCTTTTTTAGGGCAGGCAATACGGAGTGGTTCCAGAGCAATAAAAAAACAACAGAATGTATTGTGAATACGTTGCCCAGCAGACTGGTGTTTTGGAAGCAGTAAATAACAAAAGGGCCCATGAAGATGTTGCATTAATGCTGGCCAGATGCATATTTGACAAGGGAGCAAAGGTCACACCTTGAGCTAGCAGGATTCAACAGGTTTAACATATTGGCTGCAGATATGGTAAAGGACGGGGGGGTAATAGAGAGGCGGGGGGAGAGAAGAAGAAAGTCAATACATAATTACTCATGGGGTTACACCAAAAGCCAACATGGTTTGCCTTCCTCCCAATGGCAGACTCAGGACCAGTAGCCATGGGCGCCCACGTCCTACTCATTGTAAGGATTGAAGGCAGAAAGACAGACACCCAGGTTCACTTAATTTCTTAAGAAAAATAATTTTCTTCTTACCTCATTTAAACGGTCAATAGGAATAAATGAAAATGCGTCCTTCAGAGTTAGAAAGTCGGAGAATGCTTGGAAATAGTTCCTCAAATAACGGACAAAACTGCCATTTTGATAACAATGAAGAGGGAATGCTGGAAAGAAAACAGAAAATACTGATATTCAAGCGTCCTAGTCACACCACACATTTGCCCCAGCATACTGTGATGCGATGGCCACAGGCTCAGCTAACTTGGGGAGGTGTTACACAAGCTGTGGCCATGCATTGACTCCCGCTGGTGCACTAAGGTCCCACTGTTGTTTCTTGCTTGCATGTGCAGCATTCACATCGCCTGATGAGCGATGCCAAGCGACACTGCTGTTGGCCCTTCTACTGGGCCTTCCCAAACCCCGCTCCTATCAATGTTCTTAATTGGGATGGGACTCCCAGAACTAGATGATATTCTATCATGGCGAAGCATAGGTTCCTGATGCAGAAGCAGTCTACCTCAGGATTAGAATCCAAAATACAGCATATAGTGTAGGATTGTAGACACAAACAGACCAGGTTAGGTAAAGATCACAGGTCCCCTTCACATAGGGAAGCTTGCATTTGATGTCAGAAAATCAACATTAATTGCAATAAATTTTTTTTTGGAAAATGTGTGGCAGATAAATATTTTGTTGGTAAACCTCAAAAGTTGGAAATAGATGGTCTGACCTTATATAACTTAACAGTCTTTTAGTTTTAAGATTCTCATACAGTCTGCATTTCTGCAATCCTGTCAGGAATGCTGGTAGATAACTAAATATCTCATTGGGAAAGGGTGTCGAGCACATCAATGGAAAACACCAGGTTTAAGCATTGGTATCTATTAGCAGCCGCTACATTAGAGATCTCCTCTACAATGGTGAACCAAAGCGTAGACTGGGTGACCGCTTCGCAGAACATCTAAGTTCTGCTCTCAAAATAGACCCTGAACTACCTGTTGCCTGTCACTTTAACACACCACCCTGTTCCCTGGCCAACGTCTCTGTCTCTGGTTTGCTGCAGTGTTCCAGCGAAGCACAACGCAATCTGGAAGAATAACACCTCATTTTCCACTTGGGTACCCTGCAGCCCTCCAGACTCAGTATCGAGCTCAATGACTTTAGGGCCTAAACTCTCCCATGTGCAACCCCTTACCCTATGCACAAGGCCTTGTTATGACATAGCCTGCTATTGCACACTACCTACTGTTAGTCACTAACAGTCCCCATTAATAGCTCTTCACCCTCCTAGCCAGATGTATAACTCATTTGTCTATCCAACTGCTCTTCTCTCTCTTCGGGCTCTGTCATTTACTCCCTATCCCATCCCTCTCCCTATTTTCTGCACACAGAAATCAGTTCTGAGGAAGGGTCACTGGACCTGAAATGTTGAGACTGACCAAACCCAACCTGACCAGCAGAGTTCAGAATAGGTCACAGCCTTCCATTTTACCTGACATTAAACACATATAAATAAACACATGGAAAATCTGAAATCATGCAACAGGGATGGCTTTCACCTTTGCCATTTAGGCACTGAACTCGCTAGATACCCAGTATGATAGCAAAGCAGTTAACGTTACTAGATGAGTGAATCAGAGGCCTGGATCTATGTACCAAACATGTGAGTTCAAATCCTATCACCGTGCCTAAGGAATTTTAATTCAGTTTTGTTTGCTTCTTGTTTTGGATTGGAGGAGGAGGGCAGCACGGTGGCTCAGTGGTTAGCACTGCTGCCTCACAGCACCGAGGCCCTGGGTTCAATTCCACCCTCAGGCAACTGTCTGTGTGGAGATTGCACATTCTCCCTGTGTCTGCGTGGGTTTCCTCCAGGTGCTCCAGTTTCCTCTCACAGTCCAAAGATGTGCAGGTTAGGTGGATTGGCCATGCTAAATTGCCCATAGTATTCAGGGATGTGTAGATTAGGTGGGTTATAGGGGTGGGTCTGGGTGGAATGCTCCAAGGGTCAGCATAGACTTGTTGGGCCAAAGGGCCTGTTTCCACATTGTAGGGTTTCTATGAAATATTACAGGAATAAAAAAGTTGGTATCAATACTAGTGACTGCATAACAATATGGATTTTCATTTAAATCCAACTGTTTCCTTAGAGAAGAAAATCTGCTAACTTCACTAACAGTCTCAATTGACTCCTGAGCTTCAGAAATACAGGTGAATATTGCCCTCTAGGCCACTCAGTTGTCTGTAAGGAGATAGTTCACCACCATCTTCTGCAGGACAAATATGGATGGACAGCAAAGGTTAGACTTGCCGGATATTCCCATATTCTGTGATTGGTGAAGAACAACTAATAATAGAAAAGAAAGTGTGAACTATTTACATAGTTATGAGGCACAGTAGAGCTAAACATGAGAGAATGAGTATAGACCTGTAATTTTCAGAAGTAGTTTTGGAATATGTTAGAGGTGTCTTAAATCATAAGGCATTTTGAAAAACAGAGAGAAATCACAGAATCCCTACAGTGCAGATAGAGGCCATTCAGCCCATTGTGTCAGTACTGACCCTCCAAAGAGTATCCCACCCAGTCCTAGCTTCACCCACCTCCCCCCAACCACTGCAACCCAACCACCCAATCCCCGTAACCTCACATTAACTGTGAATAATCGGACAATTTAACCCAGCCAATCCACCTAACCTGCACATCTCTGAACTGTGGAAGGAAACCGGCGCACTCAGAGGAAACCCACACAGACACGGGGAGAATGTGTAAACTCCACACACACTGTCACCCAAGGCTGGAATTAAACCCGGGTCCCTGGTGCTGTGGGGCAGCAGTGCCAACCAGAAATGGATTTGCCATATTGTAGGACAGGAAAACAAAAATGGTACAGGGGGTAAATACACATCAGTTTGAAGATCAGATACATGTCATGAAGTGATTAAGGAGAAGGTTTTGTACATATAATTACCTTTGGCATAATTTAACAAATTATCGTAAATAATTTCTTGATCATACACGCTCTGCTGCTGTTTGAAAAAACTCAATGCCATGACACTGTGGAAAATAAACAGAGGTGCATCAGATACACAAATCACGAGAATTAACAATGTCCCCAAGTGTTTAGCAATTAAAATTATTCTCAGAGGTATTCTGAGAAATGCCTTCCTGTTTGTGTGTAACTTGCTTATATGATTTTTCACTTATTTCATTAGGGATAACAATAAATGCAGCTTGGCTAGTGGTGTTCACTATTGAAGAACAAATCTAAAAAAATGCACACATTCAACCACCTATCAGAAAATTGGATGTTACACATTATTTATCAAACCAGAAAAAAAACTTTTCATAATTAATAACTCCCATAATAGGGGTGTAAGAATTCATCACATATTCCTGAAGGATGTGAAATCCTCCACCCCCATCACTACTTTGTCAACACCAAGCAACAACTCACATCTCACTAGCTGAGAATATGAAAGTTTAACCTGCACATACATGATGGTGTTAGATAATCTGAATGTTCAGGGTTGTGCATGTGGCTTTGTGCTGTAAGATACCAATTACAGTAATTGTTTTTTTCAGCTTTTCTTAAATTAAAACAAGACTTTCTTTTAAAACCACGTCAATTCAGCTGGTTAATAGCAACAGTCAACTGAGGGACTGACTGACGATTAAAAACTCAATGCGTATTGGACATTAGGTAAAGTCCAGGAACATACTCGTTCATTATGTTCAATCCTAAAAATGCTGTGAATATTGTGTTTGTGGATCATAAGAGTCGAGTGGGTACTTCATTTCAACAAGTAGCTATAATGACTGGACAGTGATCAAGTGACTTCACACCATTTACATTTGAATGACGTCAGCAAGATAGAATAGAAAAAAATGCTTACATCTTTTCCAATGCTAAGCATGGAATTTCGAGGCTGTTATTGGAACCGAAAACAATGGTAGTGATCTCAGGCAGAGATGGAATCAGTACATTGTTAATCCATTCCTTCACATTTAGATCATCAACTCCAGACAGGATTCTGGAAAACTCAAGCTCCAACCTCTTAATAACATCCATTAAAACATTGCTCTGAAAAAGGAAACAATCGTGCTAAAATTAAACATGCAAACCTTTAGGTAACACAAATTCCTTCAGCTTGCAACATGATATTTTTCTGTCAACTAGAGCTATGAGGCCAGATCAGATTTTCAAAACAGGAAACTAGATCTGAGCAATTGCTACAAACACGTTTGATTTGGGACTGAAGTTATCATTCTGTGATTCTGACACTCCAGTTTAAGTTGTACCTATCTACCCCCAACCCACTGTGGGGGAGTCCTTATCAGAATGCAGTCTTACTATGAGTGCTACAGATAACTAGTCCAATACAAAGTACAAGAGCTTGGAGGTAATGTTGAACTGGTACAAGACACTTGTTAGATGCCAACTGGAGTATTGTGTACAGCTGTGGTTGGCACATTACAGGAAAGATGTGAATGCACTGGAGAGAGCGCAGAAATGATTTACAAGAATCGTCCCCAGGTTGAGAGACTTCAGCTTTGAGAATAGGCTGAAGAAGTTGGGACTATCCTTGGAGAGAAAGCTGAGAGGAGATTTGAGTAGTGACAGTATGGAACACACTGCTGGAAATGTAATAGCGGCAGTTCAAATGAAGCATTTGAGGGTGGCATTGGATGATTATTTGGATAGAAATGGCATGTCGCGAGATGGGTGAAAAGGCAGGAGATTGGCACTAGGTAATAGAAGCAGCACAGGCATAATGGGCCAAATGGCCTCCTTTTACACTGTAATAATTCTGTGTGTCTCTGATTGAGTTACCACATAATTAATGGCGTAAAACATTGAGGTGGCCCAATGTTGCGACCAGTTCAAGTAACCAAAGGTTACTTGAGTTTCAAGAGTGAAGGGCAATACATGGTCGAAAGATTGAACCTTGCAGCTGGTTATTGTCAGCCAGTTGTGGATCTGAAATGGAGAAAATAACAATTCTTTACACCCACTGGACCATCTGCTTATTTTAATCTGCAAGCAACAGATCCATTTGCTTGTTTGTCCTTCTGTAAATGAACCAGTCAGACTTCAGATAAATGGCACTGCAGGATATTGGGAAACTGCTCTGATATCATTTTGAGAGACCATTACAGCTAATATGCATTTCTTACAGTGTTCTAAAAAGCACAGGTAACATTTACAGCTCACATTTTGTGCTTCGATGATGAATTGATTTATAAGTGCAGCCAGGTTCTTGCTGGGTTGGATGTGGACTAAGATATTGGTCAATATTTTGTTGTCATTAATGAATCCAGGACTGCTCAGCACCTGAGCCAATTCTCTGGGATCGATGCTATTCACCAACTGTAAAAACACAATAAAGTCATGTTATAATTTTATATAAATAGCTGAAAGCAGACTGGATGAAGCATATGACTGTTAAAGAGACAAAAACTAAACACTTAATGAGCCTCATTGGCTACTCATTACAAATCAATATAAAAAGTGTGGGGGCATTCCTAAGAAAGAATCAGGAAGGCAAAGAGGAAATATGGAATAGCATTGGCAAATAAGATTAAGAATAATCCAAACTGGTTCTACAAGTACATTAAGATTAAGAGGGTAACTAGAGAGAGGGTAGGGCCCCTTAAAGATCACAGAGGTCATCTGTGTGTTGAACCCCAGGAGATGGGAGAGATACTAAATTAATACTTCATGTCAGTTTTTACTGTGGAGAAAGAAATGGAGTCTAGAGAATTCAGGAAAATAAATATTGATGTTTTAAAAACAGTTCACACTTGAGAAAGTTCATGAGGTCTTAGAGAATAAAAAGGTGGATAAATCTCCAGGATCTGATCGAATGTATCCCAGAACGTTGTGGGAGCTAAGGGAGGAAAATGTGAGACCCCTTGCAGAAATATTTGGAACGTCTATAACTGTGGGTGAGGTGCCTGTTGACTGGAGGGTGGCTAATGTTGTTTGTTTGTTTAAGAAGGGTTGTAATGAGAAACCAGGGAATTGTAGACCTGTGAGTCTGACTTTGGTTGTGGGTAAATTGGTGGAGGTGATTATAAAAGTTAGGATTTATGGGCCTGTTGGGAGGCAAAAATTGATTAGGGATAGTCAGTATGGTTTTGTGCAACAAAAATTGTGTCTCACAAACTTGATTGAGTTTTTTTAAGGAAGGTACCAAAAAAGTTGATGATGGCAGAGCAACAGACGTTGTTTACTTGGACTTTAGTAAAGCCTTCGACAAGGTTCCACATGGTAGACTAATCAGTAAAGTTAGGTTTCATGGGATTCGGGGTGAGCCTGCCAACTGGATACATAATTAGCTTAAAGGCAGGAGACAAAGAGTAATGGTGGAGGGTTGTGACCAGTAGTGTTCCACAGGGTCTGGGTCCTCTTTTGTTTGTCATTTATATAAATGATTTGGATGAGAAAATAGAAGGCATGGTTAGTAAGGTTGCGGACAACACCAAAATTGGTGGCATTGTAGACAGTAAATAAGGTTTTCTAAGATTACAAAGGGATCTTGATCAAATGGGTCAGTGGGCTGAAAAATGGCAGATGGAGTTCGATCTGGATAAATGTGAGATATTGCATTTTGGCACAACAAACAAGGGTAGGGCTTACACAATTAATGGTAGGGCCTTGGGTCATGTTGTAGAACAGAGGGACTTAGAGGTTCAGGTACATAATTCTTTGAAGTTTGCATCACATATAGGCAAGGTGATTAAAAAGGTGTTTAGCACGCTTGCCTTCATTGCTCAGTCCTTTAAGCATAGGAATTGTGGTTGTACAGAACATTGGTGATGCCTCCTCTGGAGTACTGTGTCCATTTCTGGTTGCCCAGTAATAGGGAGGATATTATTAAGCTGGGGAGGGTTCAGAAGAAATTTACCAGGATGTTGGCGGGTATGGAAGGTTTGAGTTATAAGGAAAAGCTGGATAGGCTGGGATAACAAAGTGTGGAGCTGGAGGAACACAGCAGGCCAGGCAGCAACAGAGGAGCAGAAATTTCTGAAGAAGGGTCCCAATTCGAAACGTCAACTTTCCTGCTCCTCTGATGCTGCCTGGCCGGCTGTGTTCCTCCAGCTCCACACTGTGTTATCACTGACTCCAGTATCTGCAGCTCTTGCTATCTCTGGATAGACTGGGACTTTTTTCACTCGCACGCAGGAGGTTGAGAGGTGACCTTATAGAAGTTTACAAAATCATGAGTGGTATGGGTAGGGTTAAAGGTAGGTGTCTTTTCCCTAGAATAGGGGTTTTTCAAGTCTCGGGGGTGCTTTTTTAAGGTGAGAGGAGAGAGATGTAAAAAGACACGAGGGCACATTTTTTACACGGAAGATGGTTCATGTGTGGAATGAACTTCCAGAGGAAATGGTGGATGTGGGTACAATTACAACGTTTAAAAGACATTGGGATAAGTACGTGATTAGGAAAGGTTTGGAGGGATATGGGCCAGGAACAAGTAGGTGGGACTAGTTTAGTTTGGGATTAGGTTCGGCATGGACTGGTTGAACAGTATTTGGAAACCAGATCCTGTCTGACACAGAGATAACAAGGTGTAGAGCTGGATGAACACAGCAGGCCAAGCAGCATCAGAGGAGCAGGAAGGCTGACGTTTCGGGCCTAGACCCTTCTTCAGAAATGGGGGAGGGGAAGGGGGTTCTGAAATAAATAGGGAGAGAGGGGGAGGCGGATTTAAGATGGATAAAGGAGAAGATAGGTGAAGAGGAGACAGACCGGTCAAAGAGGAGGGGGTGAAGCCAGTAAAGGTGAGTGTAGGTGGTGAGTTAGGGAGGGGATAGGTCAGTCCAGGGAGGTCGGACAGGTCAAGGGGGCGGGATGACCCCACTATCAAAGACATTTTCCCTCTCAATCCTTATCTGCTTTCCGGAGGGACCACTCTCTCCGGGACTCCCTTGTCCGCTCCACACTCCCCTCCAGCCCCACCAACCCCGACACTTTTCCCTGCAACCGCAGGAAGTGCTACACCTGCCCCTACACTTCCCCCCTCACCCCCATCCCAGGCCCCAAGAAGACCTTCCACATCATGCAGATGTTCACCTGCACATCTGCTAATGTGGTATACTGTATCCGCTGTTCCCGATGTGGCCTCCTCTACATCGGGGAAACCAAGGGGAGGCTTGGGGACCGCTTTGCGGAACACCTACACTCGGTTCGCAATAAACAACTGCACCTCCCAGTCGTGAACCATTTCAACTCCCCCTCCCACTCCTTAGACGACATGTCCATCCTGGGCCTCCTGCAGTGCCACAACGATGCCACCCGAAGGTTGCAGGAACAGCAACTCATATTTCGCTTGGGAACCCTGCAGCCCAATGGTATCAATGTGGATTTCACAAGCTTCAAAATCTCCCCTCCCCCTACCGCATCCCAAAACCAGCCCAGCTTGTCCCCACCTCCCTAACCTGTCCTTCCTCCCACCTATCCCCTCCTCCCACCTCAAGCCCCACCTCCATCTCCTACCTACCAGCCTCATCCCGCCCCCTTGACCTGTCCGTCCTCCCTGGACTGTCCTATCACCCCCAACTCCCCACCTACACTCACCTTTACTGGCTCCAACCCCGTCTCTTTGACCTGTCTGTCTCCTCTCCACCTATCTTCTCCTTTATCCATCTTCTATCCGCCTCCCCCTCTCTCCCTATTTATTTCAGAATCCCCTACCCCTCCCCCATTTCTGAAGAAGGGTCTAGACCCGAAACGTCAGCTTTCCTGCTCCTCTGATGCTGCTTGGCCTGCTGTGTTCATCCAGCTCTACACCTTGTTATCTCTGTGTCAGACAGGATCTGGTTTCCAAATACTGACACAAGAGACAAGAGATCTGGCTTAGAATTCCAGCTGTAATCATATTCAGCTCATGAAATAGTGTTATGGGACGCTCATGGGACATTGAAAGACATGGAAAACAGATTTTTTTTTCAGTTTGTAGCGCAGTGACCAAATTCAGAAAGACGAACTCTGGAATGTGAACATGAGCATGCTGAAAATTGCCAAATTATTATGCTGGCTGTAGGTAGATCAATGAACGAATGTTGATCTGGAATAATTAATCGACAGTTATATCCACCGGATTTACACAAGAGAAATCTTTTTGTCGTTTTTACCTCAGCTAAGTGGTCAGGAGGAACCAGCATAGATACATCCTTCAGAGTTATAAAGCCGGAGAACTTCTGGACTGACCTCTTCAAGAATTGAATAAAACTGTTGCTTTTGTAACAATTAAGAGAAAATGCTGTGAAAAGCAGAAAGTATTCAGTTAGTTTTCAATTGTCCTTCTTGAGCAAACAAGAATAATTTGTCTTGAATACCCGAAAGCCAAACTAAACAGGTACAGCTATTCATTATCCAATCACTAAATTCCTAACAAATGATGACACAATGGTTAAAATAGCCTGAAGCAAGAGACAAGATTTTCTAAAGTTCTGTTTCAAGTTTTCTCTTGAGAGGTATTGCATTTTGGTAAAAGAAACAGGTGTAGGATATACACAATTAATGGTGGGGCCTTGAGTAATGTTGTAGAACAGAAGGACCTAGGGGTTCAGGTACATAATTCAATGTTTTGGTGATTATTTCAGCTAATTTAGTGCTTTAATGCTATTTATTAAATGTTATTCTTCTTGATTGGGGTTCATCCTAAACTATCTTAAAGGACGTTCTGATTGAAACACATAAGTCAGGATTTACCCTAATGTGGAGAGGCAGTTAACACAATTTATCAGACTGATCGCCAGCAGGGAGATACCCAACCCTCTACCACCTTAACAATTAAATTCTGGATGAGTTCTGACTGGATTTTCTGACTATATTTTCCAGTCAGTCCTAAGGTTCCCAAACTAATGGGTAGCTGCATTCCAGATGGCCCACTAATTAAGTGGTCAATAAATATCCTCCACATCACCATATGGTGGGTTCCCAGGAGGTGGCAGCTCTCTGGACTATTAACTGGAGTGAAACAGGTACAGAAATTGCTGGAGAAACTCAGGTCTGGTAGCATCTGTGGAAAGAAAAGAGAATTAACATTTTGAGTCTGGTAGCATTCCTCTTTCCTGCCTTTATTAAACAGACTAGCTGCAATCTGCCCCATTTTACGTGTGACTTGGGGCAAAGGCAGGATGGTCACTGAAACTCTCTAAGCCTCCTTTCTGTGATTCCACTCCTCCTTCTCTCCCTTAAACTACTACCAGCAGCCTTGGCCAGTGCTACTCAGCGTGTCAGACAGCCTCCAGTCTGCCTGCATCTTCAGGCATGGTAAGATACCACTATCCAGGAAGCACTGCACAGGAGAATCTGCCAGATGAGCATTTAATTTGGTGGGCTCGCTCATTGGTGCTGGAGAGGTGCGGCCCACTCATAATGATGTCCATCCCTACATTTCCGCTCAGCAATAAACAATTCCCAGCCCCAGTGTGGGACCGGGGACACAGTGGAATGTAACATTTAGGACCTTTTTTCTGAAGGAGTGTCATTAGATTCAAAACGTTAATGTCTGTTTTCTCTCCACAGATGCTACCAGTTTTGCTGAGTTTCTCCTGCAGTTTTGTTCCTGGAGACAGAATGGGTAAAATGGCGTTCTTCTGAGTTGTAAATTTGCAACGTTAATAATATTCTTCAAAATTCTTCTTACATGAGGACCAGAGGACCGAGGCCAGTCTGTTTAATATTGAACATACTCGTCCTGTATCTTATACAGTAGAAGCTCTTCAAAATAACGGCAGGTTTGGCCAACAATTATTTGCACCACGCTGTATATATACAGTTGACCTTCCTGCTCACCTGTGGTGTTGAGGAAATTAAGAACCCACTCTTGCAGTACCGTCATTCTCGTTTCCGGTGGCATTTCCCTAAGACCATAACCGAGTCCTTTTACGCTGACAGAGGAAAGAAATCTTTGATTAGATGTCAAATCTACAGAAATCCTAAATCCTTGTAAGGAAACAGGGATGGACATTTTGAAGGGCTGCATAACCTTATCTGAAAACTCATTAAATTTCAGTTATTGAACGATGTTCCATTTAGAGCAAAAAGGTTGAATTTTTCAGCAGTATGTTGTAATTTGTTCACCCGCATATCAACATTCTGCATTTCAGAAGTTTCTTTTGAAAGACGTAAATGACAGACACCTCAGGGTCCTTTCTTACTGAGTGGAGTTTCTCTTATACACACACTTCACAAATCATTGAACTAACACAAACATTCTAAACAATGGTAATGATTTGAATGCCCTCAGAACAGCATTTTAAAATGAAATTAGGTAGAACTTGATTTCAATTTACAACTCTAATTGTTTAGAGTGCTATACTGATTGACAAATCTCCAGCATATGAAAAGGTCCTCTAAACCATTCCAATGTTTGGGGTTAGAAGTGCAGAACACAGCCAGATTTTCCATCACAACCACAATTTTATAGGCATAAAATCTAGTGTGTCAGCTGGAGAATTATTCCTTGGATTTGTATTAGGGTTCCAATGCACTGAGTTCATATTTATAAAAAATGATCTGAATGACCAAGTATTAAAACAAAATACTAGTTATATTGTAGGTGATTTAGTAATAAGTTAAAACATTACGATACAGTTATTCATCCCATTGACTATACAATGATGGACTTTTGTGATAGAGAAGGATACACTCACACAGCTTGGTAACCATCACAGGTTATGTTCCTCATCAGAAGGCGGTTTAGCACTGACTGAGAAATGCCAGCAATGAAAGGCCTAAATCTCTCCTGGAACCATTTCCTCAGGAAATCTGGGTCGGTTAAATTTTCATTGGTCTTCACAATCTCCCACAGAGCATTCACGAACGTGATCTTTGTCATCAAAGGAATGGATGATGTGTTCAGCGTCTGAAACAAGCCATGACATGTGTCCAAATTCCGAGTCAAGGAAATTCTTTAAAGATTTAAAAACTGATGAGTTTTTCTTTTCATCAGAAGCAATTTGTTTCACTAACATAAGCATTCAAGGAAGATGTGCCCTGTGATCGACAACAATAACTTGTAGTTAACTTTAGAAAAGCATCCCAAGGCACTTTACAAAGCTGCAGAAGCTGAGCCAAAGCAGGAGACATTTAGGTAGTGACAAAGACTCACTCATGCTGGGAAGCAGGGTCCTCTGGCTCCAGAATGGTGAAGCCTGAAATAATTTCTATACTGAGTCTTTGACCTTGTTTCAATGTAGCCAGCAAACCTGACACAGAAGAGCACGTCAAGATCATGAATGTGTGTGCGTGTGCGGGTGCGCGTGTGTACGTTTGTTTGTCTCTGTATGCGTGTATGTGTCTGTGTGAATGTACGTATGTGTGTCTGTGAACAAGTGTGTGTCTGTGTACAAGTGTGTGTATACATGTGCACGCATGTGTGTGCATGTGTATGTGTGCACATATGGGTGCGTCTGTGTGCACGTGTGAGAGAGACAGTGAGAGCAAGCCAGTGACTGAATGGGTTCTTAAATAGTGGAGGATGAGATAGGGAGCAGACTGGGATAGGGAGAAAACTGTTCTCGTGTAACCCATCGTCTAATACCAAAACCTCACACCTAAGAGAAAATCGCAACAGACAATTAACATCAAGAGTTAAATTCAATAATATCCTTTAAGGAAGGAAATCTGTCAGCCTTATCTGATTTGGACTAAATGTGACTCCATGCCCACAGCAATGTGGTTGACTCTTAACTACCCTCTTGGCAATTAGGGATGGGTAATAAATGCGAGCATTACCACTGGCACCAAAATCACATGTACAATTTTTAAAAAAGTTGATGGCATAAATAGAAATAAATGAATATAGCTTGATAGCAATTACTGAGACATGTTTGCAAAGAGACGAGGACTGAGAACTCAATATTCAAGCGTATTCAATGTTCCAGAAAAATAGGTGAAAAGGAGAAGGAAGCGGAATAGTGGTGTTAATGAAGGAAAGTCTCAATGTGATGGTGGGTACTGATACAAGTGCAATTGATCATGATGTGGAATTAGTTTGGGTGGAAATCAGGAATAGCAAGAGCAAGAAGTCACAGGTGTAAGCTGTCCACAGACCCTGAAGTGTAGTTTCAATGTAGAACAAAATATAAATCAAAGAAATAATGGTGCCACTTGAGAAAGGCACTACAAATGTCATGGATGATTTTAATCTGTGTACAACTGGACATATCAAATGAGCAAAGGCAAGATGAAAGGTGAATTTGTGGAATGCATCAGGGATTATTTACGGAGATAGTAGGAACTGTAGATGCTGGAGAATCTGAGATAACAAGGTGTAGAGCTGGATGAACACAGCAGGCCAAGCAGCATCAGAGGAGCAGAAAAGCTGACGTTTCGGGCCTAGACCCTTCTTCAGAAAAAAATGTATTTATTATTTATTTCTTGTGCAACAAACACTGGAACAGATTATTTTAAATCCAGTAGTGTGTAATGAAACAGGATAAATAAGAGATCCTCATATTTAAGGACCCATTAGGAGGTAATGATCACAACATGGTGCAACTTGCAATTCAGTTGAGGGAAAGAAAGACAGTTCTCAAACCAATGTCCTCATCTTAAATAAGGACAGTTACAGAGGTGTGAAGAAAGAGTTGCATAAAGCAGGCCAGAAGAATAGGCTCATAGGAAAGTCAGTAAATGAGCAGAGGGAGATATTTTGAAAGTGATTTCATAATATCCAGCAAAAAAAATCATCTGGTCAACAGAATGGCTTTGATGAAAAGAATGAACAACGGCAGTAAACGAGAGTATCCAATCAAAACCTAAGGAATACTAAATGTCGAAAACTAGTGGCAGGCCTGGGGTTTGGGATTTTGTTTTAGGAACCAGCAATGGATGACTAAAGAGCCAGCAAAAAGGGAGAAAATTGGTTCTCAAAGTAAATTGGCATGAAATGTGAAAACAAACAGCAAGAGCTTCCAGGGGTATATGATAAGAAAGTAGTCGACGTGAGTGTGGGACTCTTGGAGGATTAAAACTCTGTGATCCTCACAGTCACTGGCTCTCTCTGACACATACTGGTTCCAAAGTCATCATTTTGGGAAGGCCGACCTAATTCTTATTAAATCTTTCATAAAAATAGACCAACGCCCATGTATCACTACTTTGAAATCCAAATTCTTAAAAGGTATTTATATAACATTATTTATTTATAAAATCACCTTTCATCGCATAACTTTTAATATTTCCAGCATTTTCTCTGAAAATTCATGAGCGTAAGTTACAGCTTACAAGTTTACTTGACGTATATGATGATTCTACCTATTGGTGCAAAAATGCAGGTTTAAACCTCATGTATTAATTGATTCCCCATTTTACAACTAATATGTTTAGTTCACATTGGACATTGGCCTCAAGCTTTCAGCTCAGAGATATGTGTTTAGGGTTATATTCACCTTACACATCGTTAGCACATGTAACGTTTGGTACATTCCCAGCATGCAGGCTGCATTGCCGAGATGTTTAGGAGGTTAAAATATGTCCAAACAGAGCAGACCACACCATGGCGACAAATAATCGTGATTCCTTCAACGCAAAGCCAGCAATGCAAATTTCATACTCGAGGTATTCATGTGTTTTTTGGTTTTTTGAAGCTTCAAAAGCCCGCTTAACCTGCCACAAGCTATGCTATATACAACAACTTTCCTTTAGCTGCCAAAATATATGCAAGCGTACCTATCATTTTTAATGCTACAACCACTTCTTTGGAGCACACTGGTTAATGATAAAGCTCCTTGTTTATTATTTTATTCTGATCATCAATATGCTTAGTTTGGTTAGTGGGAGTGTTAAAACGCTGCAGTATAATAAAACCTCATTGAATAGTAGTCATTACTTTGGACGCAACATGAAAAGTCGATGGGTGCACTCTGTATTTAACAGTGTGCATTTAACAGATTGCTTTACAGAGCTCACAAGATTAGAATGCAGTAAACTTATGAAATTGCTGTTTATACAAGTCACAATTTATAGACAAACAAGACATATTTTCCCTTTTGGGTAGTTAAGAATCTGAATGTCTGAGGGGGTGGCGGACGCAGATTCATTTTGGTTTCAAAACAGAATTGGATTATCATCAGAAGGGGAAAAAAAAATTGCAGGGCCAGGCATAAGAGGCAGGTGAGTGTTGTAGAGGCTAGTACAGGTACAACTAGCCCAATGGCTTCCTTCTGGGTCACATAATTCTACCTTCTAATTACTAGAATAGCACATTTCAGCAGCAAACTCAGGAATAATACTAACTACAAAATCAGAAATTGCTGGAAAAACGTCTGGCTGCATCTGTGAAGAGAAATCAGAGTTAACATTTCGGGTTGACTGACCCTTCCTCAGAACTCTATTACGTTAACTCTGATTTCTCTCCACAGATGCTGCCAGACCTGCTGAGCTTTTCCAGCAATTTCTGTTTTTGTTTATGATTTACAGCATCCGCAGTTCTTTTGGTTTTTATAATACTAACTACACTTAAATGTGTCATTTGCAAATACTTAAAAATGATTAAATAGACTATTCAATCCCACTGAGCCTGCTCTGCCATTCAAATTAGATCACGGTGTATCTGTACCTTAACTCCATTTACCCCCCGCCCCCCATTAACTCCATAAGTATTGAAACTCTTATCTAAAAACAAAAAAAAGTCTTGAAAGTTCTAAATGTTCCAGAACATGTAGCTTCTTAGGTGAGGGAGTTGAAACATATTTGTTAACCTCTGTGCCCGTTCCTGCGCTGTACAGTTCTATGTTCTGTAATCAAACCTTCAATCCTCGAGGGATCAGAGGTCAAGTTTATGCAACCAATAATTAGTTACCCTGTTGTTGAACTTTTCCAGTGCTTCATTCCTTGTGGTTTCCTCAAATTTCTGAAGGAAAACAGTCAGTGCTGTTTTATCAGAGGTATTCAGAACCATTGGGCCAGTGAAGCAGTCAAATATGGAAGATAAAGCTTCACTGTTTATATGTGCCCTCAGTAGATCAGTCTGCAACGGAATTGGATTTGAAAATTATGATGGATTCAGGCATTAGACAAAACACTATTAATCTAGTACATCACAAAAATAAAATTCTCCAATGGATCCAGCAGTGGCTACAAGTGACTGCAATAGTTCAAGGACATAGCTCACTACCTTCTTTTTGGCAATAAGGGTTTTGATAACCAGGCACAGCCAATCCCATGATCAAGTTTTTTTTAAAAAAAACCATTCCCAAGTAAACATTTTTAAAAAGTATTGTTTTATCTATACTCATTGAACCTTCTATTTTCTTCTCAAAATAACAGTCTTCATTGTGAGAATTCAGTGAATTCTTGAAATCTGAGCGTGTTCCAGAATGTAAAGGAACACCATAAATTCACTGGGGTTGAAAGTCTTTGTCACATTCAAAGCCTTTCCACCCTAAGTCTAACAGGCTCAGAGCAATAGGGCCACAGACTAGACGAATACCCCAGCTACAATGATTCCTGAAATTGCCTGGTGTTTCCTGTGGCCCTTGTTCAGTTCAAACATGATGACTTGTGCTGATGACAATGGATCAAGGACAAACTTCAGTCCCAGCGATTTTGCAGCTCCAAATCTCTGCGAGGTATGGGAAATACTGGGTAGGTAGTCTGCCAATTAAAATGATAAGTGAAGGGGTGACTTGTAGAGCACAAGGATGGTATTGTAACCTAACCCCAAAAGGTGAATGGCAACTTGCACCCTTTCAAAACGATGTTGAAAAGATCCACCTTTGCTTTCTTTCTAGTGAGGTTCAGTATTTTCCATCCTAAGACTGACAGCAATGGGCCGATCTTCCAACTGTTGTAATGTTGGAAACCAGTACTGCTAACATATTGTAAATATTAGTTTCTGTCGGAATCATATGGGATATCTTGACTAGTTTCATTGTCACCAAGAACCCACTCTTATTGTGTTATTCTACTTATCATTTATTAAATCAAACATTCATACTAATAGCATATTAATAGTACATTACTGGAGTCATTAGCAGGGTCCTACAATCTATACAAAGGGTCATCAATTCAACAGGTATACTGTGATGATACTATGGCTTTAAGAGATGTGCGTTGTCCTGTTTTTTCACAAAGAAAGATTGAGACAGAGGTTGCAAACAGTCTGCTCAAAGGCAATAAAGTAAACAGCTTGTGAGGCGTTGGGTTTTTTTTTAAAGTTGGAACAACAGAAGCAGCCTGAATGCGTGGTATCAAGCTCCCACAGAAACAGAATTTTTAGTTTTAGCTTTCTCCAGTTGCTGGGATCTTTAAGCCCGATGTGGAAGCTCTTATTCCTCTCTCTCTTACAACTAAAAGCTGGGGCTCTCTTCCTGCTGCTCAAATTGCTTGTGAGACAAGGTATTTTACTGAAGTTCCCTTTGCCAAGGGTGTGTTTCTATATTACTATATTAGAATAGTTAAATCGTAATAGTTTATGTATATATTATTTTCTAAGGTTTTAAAGTAGATTTGTAGCTCGGGTTGTGGATGTTGTGGTTGGTTGTCTCGCCGAGCTAGTTCATTGTTCCGCAGCCGTTTCATTACCTTGCTGGGTAACATCATCAGTGCAGCCTCCAAGGAAGCGCTGTTGTGTTTTCCTGCCTGTTATTTAATAGCGCTTCCTTGGAGGCTGCACTGATGATGTTACCCAGCAGGGTAATGAAACGTCTGCGGAAAAACAACGAACCAGCTCGGCGAGCCAACCAACCACAATATATATTATTTTGTTAAGCATTTCAATAGAGTTACAGCTAAGCCAATTCTTTTAGTTTTATTTTGTCTGTATTTTACTTATAGTGTATGAATAAAGTGTGTTTTGTTTCAAGCCTGGTAGTTTGACCAATTGAATTGCATCCAGAACATATCGCCTTACACTTACCTCTAAAATAAGAAAGAGTTAGGCTCTAGACTACCTTGTTAATATATTTTGAAGGAGACTGGTCTGGTCCATAACACATACTAAAAATGAAACAGGGCCTTACGTTTCAATATCAGGCCAGCATTCAGACCGTAAATCATTGCATCAAAATTCAACAGATCATTTATTGGACTTAATCTTACAGAAACTGTTGATCATGCTCAAGAATAAACTTTTGAGATGGGAATAAATTATTTTGGAAATTTTCTTTAATTTGGACATACACACACAATGGGTAAGACTGAGAGTATGTTTTGCTGTCAGTAAAATTTATGAATGACTGCAAGACAGCTCACACTGCCTTTCTGCGTGCATTATTTTTAAGCATTGTTAACCCACTAATAAAAACAGCCTGATTCAAAAAATAACACAGAAGACAATGGAATGAACCTTTAAGCACTTGTGTCCTTCACAAATCGAAATACATATTCAGATATTACATTTCCAACTGAATTCTGAATTATGACACACCTTACCTGAGAACATGCATATTCTGCAACTTTAAAGTTGCAGATTTGGTTCTGCTTAACATCATTCAGGAAACTATTAACAGCCGAACTATAAGGAGGAAATTAAAAGGATAAATTGAGACACTTTTCAAAAAAACCTTTTCCTCAAAAGTAAAAATTCTAAGCATCTCAGTATTAGAATTTGAAACGAAATGCAGGGGCTTCTATCTCCAAACAGCTATTTGAACTGTCAGCTCTTTAGGAGAGAAAGTTCCCTGTAGAGACTTGAAGACAAATGATATTAGGCTCCAGTTCCAGTGACAGAGCTTTGCCTGATTAGAGTATTGATCATAGCACATCTGAACAGTGGCGTTCTCAAACTTCAAGTGATTAAGTTACATGCAAATGTTGCAGAACTATTACTTTAACGACATCCACAACGACAATGTTTCAAGTACAGTTTTATTGGTATTATTGGCCAACTGCATGGACTGTTGTATAGTGTTGAGGCAGTTGGTTTATGACAGCAACTAAACTGTTTTCATTTTGAATCAATATCAGTCATTAAGGACCAAAACAGAGATTGCTGGAAAAGCTCAGCAGGTCTGGCAGCATCCATGGAGAGAAATCAGAGTTAATGTTTCGGGTCCAGTGACCCTTCCTCACAGCTGATGGTAGCTAGGAAAATGTCGGTTCATATGCAGAAGATGAGGTCAGGGGAGGGGGTAAGGAGTAAACGATCGGTAGGGATAGAACCCAAAGAGAGAGGAGGACAGTTAGACAGGCAAAGGAGTGGATAACAATCTGGCTAGGAGGGTGAACAGCTATTAATGGGGACTGTTAGTGACTAACAACGGATTGTATGTAATAGCAGACTATGTAATAACAAAGATAGTAGGAACTGCCGATGCTGGAGAATCCGAGACAACAAGGTGCAGAGCTGGATGAACACAGCAGGCCAAGCAGCATCATAGGAGCAGAAAGGCTGACGTTTCGGGCCTAGACCCTTCATCAGAAAAGGGTCTCTTTTAGTATCTTTTTTTTTGCATTCTCACTGTAACGCTAAATTTTGGGCGGCACGGTGACCTAGTGGTTAGCACTGCTGCCTCACAGCACCCGGGACCCGACTTCGCTTCCATCCTCGGGCGACTGTCTGTGTGGAGTTTGCACATTCTCCCCCTGTCTG